AAACGACGCGACTTGAGGTTGACTGTTAACACGAGAATGTGTCAACACGTCGGGTGTAATTTTCCAACGCATACCAAGCACAGAAACTTCGTCGGCGGGCTCATATTTGTTATCTCGGGTAGCAAGTTCACACAAATCAGGAGAATTCGATGACCAAGCACGTAAATTAAATCCACAAGAATTCATGAGGCTCGTAGATTCACTGTAGTATTTAACAGTATCTGCTTCCGAATAGACTCCATCAATGACATTATCGACATAGATGTTGTCTTTCATTTGATTGGCAGTATTAATATCACAGTTATTATCCAAATGAGTTTTGATCACAGCATTCAGGATAAAAGGTGAGCACACAGCACCAAACAGCACAGATTTAAATTGATACACTTTGAGTGGACTGTCGATATTGTTCACGTCTGTCAGCCACAGAAATTTGGTAAATTTCCGTTCATCGGGATGCAGTCTCACGTTAAGGAATGCTTTCTCAATATCACTACAGACTGCAATATTGTTAGCACGGAACCTCATTAAGATGGCTGGCAAATCATTAATCATAGAAGGCCCGGTTTGGAGACAATCGTTCAAACTCGGGGAATTGGCGTTTCGGCGGCAAGAGCAATCGTACACAATACGAATCGGGGTTGTAGTAGAGTCCTTTGCTACCGAGCGATGGGGTAGATAATGTCCGACAGTATTATCATCATTGTAGACTTCTTCGATGAAGTTGCTGTTCGATGATAGAGTTGTATGCGTCGAGTAACTCAGGAGACAAACGTCTGAGCATGGCGCGCGTTCGACTAACTGTGACGTCGTAATTGGTAGGCAACGGTGGGTGGTTATCACACCATGGTAATCTCGCAATGTATTTTTTGTTTTCAATTTGCAAATGAGTGTCACGATAAGTTTCAAAATCCATACATACTTCTGCGGAGGGGTCGTCGGTCACACCGATACTTTCTAAATCCCAAAGACGCTGGAGTTTGCTGTCGAGTTGTTGCGATTCGGTAGACACGTGTAGTATGTTTACATCTGCGTTCGTTGACCTTTGACCCTTGTCTACTGGCCCTGATAATAAATATCCGAATTTGGACGAAACCGCTGTAGGACCATTGCCGCGGATAACGTTATCCCCGACGTAATTCCAATACTGGTCAGCGCCGATAAGTAAATCAATAGAGAATGATTTATCTTCTGTGACTGGATGCGCAAATGTTAGTCCGCGCAAATAATCAACATGGTGAATAGATTCAGTGATGTGGTTTGTCAGTTTAGTCGATATTTCGGAGATGAACAGTACGTCAATATTCGAAGTATGTCCCGACAAATCGTGTGCTGTGACACTAGCAAAGTCTAACGCTCGTGAGTGATCAGTATTGTCGCCAAATGTAGAAAGAAATACTTGTTCAGTGCGTGTAGGAGATAAGTTCAAATCGTTAGCAAACTTACGAGAGATGAATGAACGGCTTGCCCCTTCGTCGAAAAGTACGTTAGCTTGTAGTGGCTGGCTATTACCTACAGATATCTTGAGAAGTACGGGACGCAGACATGTATTATTTGGCGAGTTCCTGTGGGTGTCGTTGAGTTTTGTCAATGTCACATGAACCGGTGAATTTGGATTCGTATCAGATGTTGCAACGTCCGTCGCGGGTTGGCTTTCTTGGTGTAGTGTTGAGTGGTGTCTTCGTTTACATGTACGACAGTTGAACTTAGATTTACATTCCGATGCTCGATGTCTTCCCAAACAATTGTAACAAAGTTTGTCACGTTTGACTATTTCCCAACGTTTGTTTATGTCCGTTACTACGCGACATGCAGAAGTGAAGTGTGTTCCTTTACAGTAGGTGCATTTGGCGCTGGTGTTACGCAATTTTGGATCGCGTTTTGGAGATCGCACATTTGTATGAAATGTAGCAGTAATGTCCGGTTGATACCGTGAATTGTTGATTGACGATTCGTCGAGCGGGTTCCCGGATTGGATCGCGGTTATTTCGCGTAGCAGTGCTTTACGTAGATTAGGTAAACTCCAAGCTTCTCCCCCGATTTCGCGAGCGATTTGCTTTCGAATGGTTGCCGGTAGTTTGTCGCGGATGATCGGAACGAGGAGGTCACCGTAAGAACTTTCCGGTTTTCCGAGTGTTTGTAGACCACGGATATGTCCTTCCAGCGCGTCATAAAATTTACGCAGACTTTCGATGTCGCTGGTGGGTTGTTGCAATTGCCAGAGCGAAGTCATATGTGCCTCGGTAACTAGTGGTCACGTCCGTATCGTTCT